CCATCTCTGAAGTAGTGCTGGTTTTCCCAAATCTTTATGTAGACAGGGACGCTGTATGAACACTAGCGTCGCCTTCAATTTGTAAATCCACGAACTGTGTCTCTGAGCTGCTTTACCTCGCACTAGGACGCCATCCCACCACTGCCACCAATGTAACGGATCTCCTGGCACCCCGACTGGGTACCTCCGTTAAAGGATGCTCCTAGCGCTTCCTGAGGACTCCAAGCACTGCAGCAGACACCACAACCACCGAACCGGAGAAGCATATGAATCCTCTCAAGCATATGAATGCTGTAGACAGCTGAATAGGAACCATACAAATAGGTTTACTCTCCTAGCAGTCAAACTGGAACAGCATACAATAAATCCTTCCCCCAATAATGAGACGACACTTCACTTTGAGGGTTAAAACAGGAACTCCCTGTACTGTCACATACAGTCTCTTTTATTCCCAATCCACAAACATAGTACAGCCCACAGGGCGTTACAAAACAGCCAATCAATCCATACAATACACCCAGACACTCCCACACAAAATCCTCCCCTCTGGCTGTGATGTGATTACTGAACACAATGGGTAATCTAATTATCACAGCCAGAGAAATACAGTTTCATAAAACACATCACAGGGACCCCAAAACATGCAATAACCCCATAAAAGTATATCCTTGGAACTGGGGGATCTGGGTGAACCACATATCCAAAATTCACCCAGATCCGTTCAGTACTTTGGAAAATACAGTTTAATGCAGATTCTGCAGAACATATACAGGCTAAATAAAAAACAATCACTGTATAATGTGTCCCCTGCTGTATAGTCCAAAACCACCGCACAATGTCTCTGTGCAACAAATACTGGCGAGATGGCACCGTGTTGAAAAGTCCACACAGTGTCTGTGAGTTAAAATGGCCACCATCCATTGTTCTCACCATGTGCTTCTGATACAGGAAATTTTGGCCACCCAGTAACTCCACAGTATGTCCCCAGATGGTTCTTAAAAGGGCCAGCAGCAGCACAACACAAATCCATTATGCCCAAATCATGTCTTTAAAGGGCAATACATCCCAGGGGCCATAGTCACATGGCAGGAGGCTGGCAACCAGGCTTCTCCAGTGCATAGTGGCGAGGTTGGTTCCGCCACACTTCTCCCCTTTACCAATCAGACTAACAGGGTATCTGACCTCCTGCCGGTCAGTGCTCTGGTTAGTCCAGCAACCCACCCATGAAGCACAAACAGCAATACAGCCCACCCACAATAACTGGTTACTACACCTGGATAAAATAGCAACTTGTCCATGTCCAGGTGCCTCACCACAGCTGTGCGGGGGGCTGGTAGACTGCCTTGGTGGGTTGCTGAGTGGGCAGAGACCAGCGGTACTCTGCCCGGGTGCCAGCACTACCACTGAAGTAGCCTGGTTGGAGCCTGGTTGTGGGAGGGGGAGACCGACTGTCTCCCCTCTGGATACACTGCTCTGTGGCTGGGGGACAGGACCGACCGTCCCTACCCCTGGTGCTGCAAGTGCAGAGACTACGGTCCCATCTGCATAGTTGTGGGGCTTAACATCTCCCCTTGGTGGGTTAGGCTGCCGCTGGAGAGAGGGTGTAACAAACTCCTCTCTCTGAACTGTAGACTGCCGCTGGGGAGAGGGGGTAACCTGCTCCTCTCCCTGACCCTCTCTTTGCTGGTTGAGAGGGGGACCAGCTGTCTCCCCTTTCAATATTTTGTCCTGCGGCTGGGGTGCGAGACAGACAGTCTCTGCTTCCTGGGGTACACAATGCCGCTGGGGAGGAAGGACGGCACCTTCAGCTCCCTGGGGTACACACTGCCGCTGGGGAGGAAGGACGACACCTTTGGCTCCCTGGGATACACACTGCTGCTGGGGAGGAAGGACGGCACCTTCTGCTCCCTGGGGTACACACTGCCGCTGGGGAGGGGGGGTAACAAGCTCCTCTCCCATACATACTTTCAGCCGCTGGGGAGAGGGGATAACAAGCTCCTCTCCCTGACACTCACACTGCTGTTGGAGGGGGAGACCGACTGTCTCCCCTTTCAATAATTTGTCCTGTTGCTGGGGAGAGGTGATAACCGGTTCCTCTTCCTGGAACACTCTCTGCTGTTGGAGAGGGGGACCAACTGTCTCCCCTTTTAATATATTGCCCTGCTGCTGGGGAGCGAGACCAACTGTCTCCGCTTCCTGCAGGACACACTGCCGCTGGGGAGGAAGTACAGCACCTTCAGCTCCCTGGGATACATACTGCCGCTGGGGATCTGGGCTGACTGCCCAGCATCCCTGTAGGGCCTGTAGAGAGACCTCGGTCCCATCCCCACCTGGCAGCTGGGTGTCTTCCCAGGACAAGTCAATAAGGTCTTCCATCTCTGGGGCTGGTTGGGACATATGTGGTACAGTACCAAGGTCTCCTGATAACAGGCTTGGTTGCTGGGTAGGAGTAACTAAACTCAATGCTTCCGGTGGTATACAGTCAATAAGCCCCATCATGTCAGAGACAGGCGGCGTTATACGTTGGAATAGGCAAACATAATCCTGTTCTAGTTCCCACTCTCGGTTGGCAAGAAAAGAAAGATCTGGCTGAATGGCATCGATCTCTGTAAGGTCCCAGTTGTCTGCCCGCTCAGCTCGGATGGACCAGAAGCGAGCAATGTCGGTGTCTCCGAACCAGAGACTAGTTTCAATAGTATCCCACAACAAACCAGGGCCGTCGTAGTCTTCCCCTCAATACACTTGTACTCAATCAGCCATGGGTAGAGGTGGTAAACATGCCACCGCAGGGCCCGATAGGAATCATCCAGCCACACCTCAGTTTCAACTAGCGTCTCCAGTTCGCTTACCCATTCCTCTGAGGGCTGGTTTCCCAATAACGGCATCCGCAGCTCTAGTTGTTCTGCTTGGCGCTGGTTAGTGGTCAGGATTTCCTCGCACCGGAAGGGTCGAATTTCGTCGATGTCCTCCTTCCAGAGATTGGTACGAAGCGCCACCCTCCACTCTGTCTCTCTTTCCTCTGGGATAGGATACTCCATACTGCGCATCACATCCTGTAGTCGCTGCTGGAGCCTGGCGTCAAAGTGACATACTGCACGGCCTTCCATCTCTGAAGTAGTGCTGGTTTTCCCAAATCTTTATGTAGACAGGGACGCTGTATGAACACTAGCGTCGCCTTCAATTTGTAAATCCACGAACTGTGTCTCTGAGCTGCTTTACCTCGCACTAGGACGCCATCCCACCGCTACCACCAATGTAACGGATCTCCTGGCACCCCGACTGGGTACCTCCGTTAAAGGATGCTCCTAGCGCTTCCTGAGGACTCCAAGCACTGCAGCAGACACCACAACCACCGAATCGGAGAAGCATATGAATCCTCTCAAGCATATGAATGCTGTAGACAGTTGAATAGGAACCATACAAATAGGTTTACTCTCCTAGCAGTCAAACTGGAACAGCAGACAATAAATCCTTCCCCCAATAATGAGACGACACTTCACTTTGAGGGTTAAAACAGGAACTCCCTGTACTGTCACATACAGTCTCTTTTATTCCCAATCCACAAACATAGTACAGCCCACAGGGCGTTACAAAACAGCCAATCAATCCATACAATACACCCAGACACTCCCACACAAAATCCTCCCCTCTGGCTGTGATATGATTACTGAACACAATGGGTAATCTAATTATCACAGCCAGAGAAATACAGTTTCATAAAACACATCACAGGGACCCCAAAACATGCAATAACCCCATAAAAATTCACCCAGATCCGTTCAGTACTTTGGAAAATACAGTTTAATGCAGATTCTGCAGAACATATACAGGCTAAATAAAAAACAATCACTGTATAATGTGTCCCCTGCTGTATAGTCCAAAACCACCGCACGATGTCTCTGTGCAACAAATACTGGCGAGATGGCACCGTGTTGAAAAGTCCACACAGTGTCTGTGAGTTAAAATGGCCGCCATCCATTGTTCTCACCATGTGCTTCTGATACAGGAAATGGTGGCCACCCAGTAACTCCACAGTATGTCCCCAGATGGTTCTTAAAAGGGCCAGCAGCAGCACAACACAAATCCATTATGCCCAAATCATGTCTTTAAAGGGCAATACATCCCAGGGGCCATAGTCACATGGCAGGAGGCTGGCAACCAGGCTTCTCCAGTGCATAGTGGCGAGGTTGGTTCCGCCACACACCCCATTAAACATTTTAAATCATCTAAAACTAAACACACACAGAACCACTCCGTTACTAAAGAAGGACCACCAGGTGTAACGAATGCTGGTATTTCAGGTACCCGTTGATTTGCTTCCTCCCGAACTGCTAGATAATATGTGATTATAGCTCGCAGTTCAGTCGATTCGTACGCTCTCCAACGTAAAATACAGCATACAAATAAGTCCAACAGGTATTCAGAAGCATACCCAAACATCATCCTAGACTAGATGAAGGGTACAATAGGAATGTTTTTATTCAGGCCAAATGGCCGGCTTTTATGCAAGTCAAGGGTACATTACACACGCCCACAGAAACCCACACAACATGCCCCTTAAATTACGGAGTCACAATGACTCAACATACAAAAATATATACAAAATAAATATGACTCAAAATACAAAATATAAAAAGTACATAATTCACATAAATATTATAGGGACCCCTATAAATGTAATATCCCCGAATAGCCTGGATCAGAGCACCCAAGTTGTCCAATAACGCTCAGATCCCACGAATAGAAGCAAATCACCAATGGGGTAAAGATTAGACTGACCGCTCACGAGGCGCTTGCCCAAAATAGTTCCACAATTTCAAGGGTAGCGGTCGGTCAATATTGGGAGTCCCAATCTGTTCCAAGCCCTCACTCCCACAATACACCCGGATCAGCTTATAGTGGATCGGGCACACAGGCTAAGACGCCCAAAGCACCTCCCTCCAACCACAGAGAGAGATGTCATTGCCAGAGTGCACTTCTACCATACCAAAGAGCAGCTGATGAAAGCCAGCAGGGCCTCAGGCTTGCCAGACCCCTACAGCCGAATCAAACTCTTTGCAGACTTATCTGCAGCGACGCTACAATTCAGGAAGAACCTAACCCCAGTGACAACCACACTGAGAGACCACAACATCGCTTACCGATGGGGTTACCCCGCCAAGCTCCTGATTCACTACAGAGATGCCCTACACGCCATTCCGACACTGGAACTAGGAATCGCCAAGCTACAATCCTGGGGCCTCCAAATGCCTGAGGTACACCGACATCTCCCTTCCAAGGTCCCAAGACTTTCCCCGGAGTGGACTGTGAACTGATACACGAGGGGAATGCCATCTCCAAGGACTGCGGTAAAATCTTTGACCTCTTAAGTGGTCACCCGCCTCCCCTCAGTGTATTATAATGCATATTTTGGTTTGAATGTTGTTCAGATGTTTGGTTATGATTTCATGGGGGTGCTGACGCTCACTCCCCCCCCCACAGTTCATGGGTAGCACCCTTTCATGTGTTCCATGTATTGAACCTCCTGCCGGTGCAGATGAGACTCGGGGAGTACTGTGAGCTCACCCTCCTCCCCCACATTGCCCGAAGCTTTAAAGGAGGCACAACCCCTCATGCCTACTACTCACCCTTCATCTTTAGCATGGCAACGCTCCTTGCCGCCACCACAGTGAGCCACCACCTCAAAGAGGACGCTCACCCCCACGATCCCAACCACATGCGCCCGAGCTCTCCTCGGGGCATTTTGGCTTCCTAGCTGGAAGCAAGATAGGGCTGGTTGCCCACGTGTTTGTCTCCCCCCCCTAGTTACCCCCCTGTTTATCCCCTCCCACCCAGACATACTCGGGGCCACCAACGGGTCCCCCTCGAAACCCACCCTCCAGGAAAACTATACATTGCAGCCTCCACCAATACGCCTATTCGACCGTACTGTGCCCAGCACTGCTTCAGTAGCAAGCATAGGAATTACTACCACTAGTGTACCTGCCCACAAAATAATTAAGTATGAAACTAGTCTCATATAATGTGAATGGCTTGAACTCCCCAGGCAAGCGCAGACTCCTTCTTAAAGACCTTACAACCAATGGTATAGACGTAGCTTGCATACAAGAGACCCATTTCAAACGTACCCACCCCCCAGCTATCTTTACTAGACAATTCCCCATGCAAGTGCACTCTCTCTCTGCCACAAAATCCAAGGGAGTATCGATCTTTATCCACAAAGATGTAGCCTACACTCCACAGCGACAGTACATAGACCCAGAGGGGAGATATGTTATACTGGTGGGTCGTTTCAACGATACACAACTGACGCTGGTGGCAGCGTACCTGCCCAACGACCGACCACGCCACTTTCTGTCTTCCCTCCTGCGCAAAATCGAAGATTATAGGTTAGGGGACCTGATACTCTGCGGAGACTTTAACTGCATACAATCGCTAGGGCTAGACACTACTGCAACCCCCACGGGCGCAAACAAACGGAGACTGGACACATCATGTAAAGCACTCTCCAAACTCCTTGACCAATACGACTTATACGACGCCTGGAGGACCATGCACCCGACAGACAGGGATTACACTTTTCACTCCAGAGTCCACAATACATACACGCGCATAGACACCTTTCTCCTACACAGGACACTACTGCCGCAACTCACGCAGTGCACCATAGGGGAAATATCCTGGTCAGACCACGGTCCCGTCTATCTAAACTTACTAGACACTTTCCAATTTCGGGGCCGGGGGTCCTGGCGTCTAAATGATTCGCTGTTGTCCAATGCACCCTTTGCGGAACACATAAGAGAAGAACTCCAAGCATACTTTGCGCTGAACGCGACAGGAGAGGTCTCAGACTACACGGTTTGGTCGGCGCATAAAGCAGTAGTACGGGGGCTTTTCTTGAGACGAGCCGCCTTCCTAAAGAAGCAGAATACGTCCGGCCTCCTTGATTGCCTTAGGCAAATAGCTATAATCTCTAGGCAGAATAAATCTAAGCCCACCCCTGACCTAGCGAAACAGCTCAGAGTGCTTTACGCACGAATGCAAGAGCTGAATACAGAAAAAACCAAGCGCATGCTCCACAAACTGAGAGCCAATGTATACCACAATAGTGGGAAAGCCACTAAATACTTAGCCGCCAGGCTACGAAATCAATGCTCTAGCTCCAAGATAGCCCACGTGGTGGGAGGCGACGGACTAAAGAAGGTTACCCCCATGGATATTAGCCAGGAATTCGCTCATTTCTACTCTAAACTTTACAACCTAAAGGAGGAGGGCAGCACTCACAATGCTAGCTTAGACGACATAACCCAATTTTTATCCCAAGCCAAACTCCCCCAACTAACGAGTGTACAGGCAGAAGCACTAATCAGGCCCATTGAGCTCACAGAGGTGCTTGAAACGATCGCCAAATTGCCACAAGGGAAGTCACCAGGAGCAGATGGGCTCCCAAACGCCTACTACAAAAAATTTGCGCACGTCCTGGGCCCCCACCTGCTAAAAGTGTACCGTAGGGCGACTGCCACGGGCGCGCTCCCACCAGAGATGCTCCGGGCTACCATAGTAACCATCCCGAAACCCGACAAACCCCCGGACACCTGTAAAAATTACCGCCCTATATCGCTTCTAAACTCAGATGCAAAGATCTATGCGAAGATCCTAACGAATAGACTAAATAGGGTCCTGCCATCCCTTATTGGGGATGACCAGACAGGGTTCATACAAGGAAGACAGGGAACAGATAATACCAGGAAACTGTCGCTGATTCTGGATTACCTCAGGGGGACCAGAGGAGGCGGTCTATTACTAGCACTTGACGCCGAAAAAGCTTTTGACCGCCTAAGCTGGCCCTTCCTACAACAAGCCTTGAGAGCCTATGGGTTCCCCCCCCAGTTTGAGTCACAAATTTTTGCTCTGTATGCGGGTCCGACAGCCCAGGTACTACAGGCAGGCTTTATGTCTGACCCGTTTCAGTTGTCCAATGGAACGAGGCAGGGGTGCCCCCTATCCCCCCTGCTGTACGTGTTGGCGTTAGAACCCCTCCTGCAAACCATTCGAAACCATCCTGACGTCAAAGGGATCCAAATTAAGGGGACAGATTACAAAGTTAGCGCCTTCGCGGATGATATCCTCCTTTATGTCACCGATCCCATGACCACGATCCCTGTAATTATGCACATCATCAAGGAATATGGCCTATGCTCCTACTACGCACTGAACACCACAAAAACCCAAGCCCTGGGAATTGGCCTACCCCCCCAAGTGACGGAAACACTACGCATGACATACCCTTTCGAATGGAGGCGGGATAACATCAAATACCTAGGTGTTATGTTCTCCAGACGCCGCGCTGACCTAAGCGCAACCAACTATATCAGGGTCTGGACAGAGTGTAAACAATCCCTGACAAAATGGGGATCCCTCTTCCTGACTTGGACTGAGAGAATAGTGGCGATTAAGATGTCCATACTCCCCAGGTTACAATACATTTTTAGGAACCTCCCATTACCAATGCCACAATCCTATTTTAAAGCGATACAGAGCGATATCACCAACTTCATCTGGAACAAGGGTAAACCCCGCATCTCAATGAAGCTCCTACGAGCTCCAGCTAGAGCAGGAGGCTTAGCAGTCCCTGACGTGCGTACCTATTACCACGCATCCATATTAGCAGCAGCCATCCCCCATTTTGTTGACCAAAGCCCCCCGCAATGGGTCAGGCTTGAGAAGCTCATGATGACTCCGTATGACATCACCCACATACTATGGCTCCCGCAACAGCTTCGCCCCCCCCTAAAAGATATCCCTTCCCAACTCGCCCTACTCATACGAGTTTGGGACGCACACAGACATAAACTGACCTCCAGCGGCCCTCTGTCCCCAGCCACACCGACACCGGCTCTCACATACTGCATTCCCACCTTCTACGCTAAACCGTGGCAGGAGAAGGGGCTCCAACACTTAGGCCAATTCCACGCTAACTCAAAGCTCCTAGACTTTCACACCCTACACTCACTCCACGGTGTCCCCCTGACATCTCATTTTTCCTACAGACAACTTCATTCTTTCCTGCACAAACAAGCTACACAAGTACCGCCCAGCCAAACCGCCACCGACCAACTTACAACATGGGAAAAAATGTGTATAAATAAAAAACTACCCCCACTATGTAAGCCAATCTCCACGTGTTACCAATTGCTATTAGACTTCACACCTCTCTCAGAGGCCACGCCAGCTAGACAATGGGCAGAAGATCTGACCATTGAGCTCACTCACAAAGAGTGGAACACTTTATCTACCGCACCCAAAACCCTCCTTAAATCAGCACCGTTACTGGAGCAGAACAAAAAAATGATTTATAGATGGTACATGGTCCCGGAGCGGCTTTCTAAAATGTACCCCGCCGCTTCATCCACCTGCTGGAGATGTCGGGAACACACCGGATCAGTTTTACACATCTGGTGGACGTGCTCACTGATAAAACCCTTTTGGGAAGCAGTGCACTCCTTCCTACAAGACCTCACGAAACTTACTCTGCCCCTAGACCCGCTCACGTACCTGCTACTGCACACTCCCCCCCACACTCCTAAGTACCTCCAAAAACTAATTTTCCACACAACACTAACGGCTCAACGCCTTATAGCGCGGGCCTGGAAATCTCCAACCACTCCTAAGATACAAAACGTACTCTCAGAAATAGCTGAGCAGAGACTCTATGAGCGTTGCTTCACGAATATATGCCCACCCACCCGTACAGGGACGACAGCATGGGATGTGTGGGACGCGTGGAGATTGGCAAACCCTGAGTAAGGCGACTCATTCCTGTACCATAGCAACATGTATGCATTGTATTGACCCACTGTGTTCGCAAAGCGAAAGAGCATCGGATTAGGCTACGCATGGGGAAATATACTCCAAATTACACAGATCTCCCCAGCCCATGTGTGGGCGCATTGACTAGAATTACACTAAGCAATTTTGTGCGGCTTATTTTTCTTAACAACAATATTATTAATACCACTGTCCAAACCATTACTGTTTTACCAAGCTACTATGCTACTACGCTATGTCGCCTTGTACCGAGTGACATATACTGTAACACGGAAACCCCCCCCCCCTCCTTCTTCTCTTCTGTACCCCCCCCCCCTGTTCTTATCAACAATAAAAATTGTCAAATTGAAAAAAAAAAAATATTGGGAGTCCCAATCCGAATAAATCCACGGAACGGTTCCCCTGGCTCATTGGTAGCGTTTGTTCACCGTAATCATGTGAACAAACCTACCAAACAGCCCTCTCCTGGCTTGCCTGAGAAAAGAAA